CTAATATAAATAGTTGACTTTAGTGTTTCCTACATATTATCATTTTGATAGCTATATAAAAACATATCATGTTGACATGCTAGTTTGCTTAGGCATTTTTCTTTTGTTAGACATTTGGGTATTATTTAGCTCAGTATTTCTCAAAGTGTGGTCCCAAGACCAGCAAAATCAGCATCGTTTTTGGAACTTGTTAAAAAATGCAAGTTCTTAGCCTCTGCCTCAGACCTCCTGAATCAGAAACTCTGGGTCAGGCCCCAGCAAGTTGTGTTTAAACGTGCAACTCTGGTTATTCTGATACATGGCAGTTTGAGAACTACTGATCTAGTTCAACATTTCTCAACATCTCAGTTTTTGTGGTGGGGAACTGTTGTTGAACTGCAGGATGATTAAAGCATCCGTGGCTACCAGATGCCAGTAAGCACGCCCCTCCACCCCAAGTTGTGACAACCAAAAATGTCTCCAGACATTACCAAGTGTTCATTGCAGGGGGGCAGAATTGACCCTGTTTGAGAACCATTGATCTAGTTCTTCCTTATCATAAATAATGTGGCTAAGAATGTTTTTATTAGTAACTTGAGATTTCCCCTTAGACTTGATCTTTTGTAAACTAGAATTTTTGAGTCTAAGGGTATCAACATGTTTATAATTTTAAAGACTGAAAGGTACATTTTTGGTTCTAGAAGAAACTCTGGTGCTCAACCTTGAGTTCAGGTCTCAATGGAAGTGGTATTTGCTCCTCTAAGTAGCTTCTCTTGGTAGCTCATCCGCTCTTTTAACTTTACTCCTCAGGGCTTGGACTGTGGTCCTGAGAGCAGCAAGAAGTATGCTGAGGCTGTCGCTCGAGCTAAGCAGATTGTGTGGAATGGACCTGTGGGGGTATTTGAATGGGAAGCTTTTGCCCGGGGAACCAAAGCCCTCATGGATGATGTGGTAAAAGCCACTTCAAGGGGCTGCATCACCATCATCGGTAAGGGATCCTGTTGTATAAAGCTAATACCAGTGTGAGCTGGCAGAATTCTGATCAGAGAAAAGTAGAAGGGCAAACTTTTCTTTATCTCTTGAGAGTTAAACAGGTGGGTCATTCGTGGAGGACCCTCTTAGTGAGATGCAGTTGGGGGATTATCAGCTACCTTTTGGGTTGGAAAACACATTCCTTAAAGTTTTGGTGCCAATTCATTTTTTCTTTTCTCCCCTTTCCCTTTTTTACCTGGCTTTAATTCAACAGGTGGTGGAGATACCGCAACTTGCTGTGCTAAATGGAACACGGAGGATAAAGTTAGCCATGTGAGCACTGGGGGTGGTGCCAGTTTGGAGCTCCTGGAAGGTGAGGTTCTTGCCCGTTTTTTTTTTTTTTTTTTTTTTTTTTGCTTTTTGGGTGGTAAAGGAAGGACTGCAGTGAAAGGTGGGTAGAGCAAGTTAGTAGGTAGTGTTGTCAGTAGCAGTCATTATTAGCTGGGCAGTATAAATGGAGGAACTTCAAATAAAGCTCCTGGAATCCATCTGAGGTGGGGAGGGTCAGATAGAAACTTATTCCTAAAGAGTCTTGTTCTAGTAGATCTGAGACCCAAAATGCAAGAGTTGCCTGACTCCTGGCCATATATCCTAAAGAAGCTGACATGTTACTGGGAAAATAGGGGCATATCTGGCCCTATAATAATGCTCTCTCTGTGTGTGTGCTCTCTCAAAAACAGGTAAAGTTCTTCCTGGGGTGGATGCTCTCAGCAATATTTAGTACTTTCCTGCCTTTTGGTTCCTGTGCACAGCCCCTAAGTCACCTTAGTGTTTTCTGCATCTCCATCTGGTATTAGCTAAAAGCTTTTTCCATGTCAAGATTCTGCTAGTGGCCAAGAGATGCAGCACCAGGAACCCTTAAGCAGTTGCACAGCATCTCAACTCATCTTTACCGCACCCTGGACTTGCCTACATTCTTCAAGATCCCATTTGAATTTCTTAGTGACTAAATCATTTTGCATTCTAGAGTGCATATATTTTTATTTTGCTTGTTAAAAGTGAGCTGTGCTAGCTTAGTTCTTTTTTTTGAAGTAGCTTGTTCTGATTAGCTTTGTTGCTGTTTTCACTACTCAGCATGGAAACAAGACGAAATCCCAGTTGTAGGTAGGGAAACAAAGTTGATGATCTATTAAATAAACAATAAAAATGTCCATTGAAACCATGATTTTTTTTTCCTGTCATACTTTATTAGGAAGAGTGAGAATAGAATCTTGAGGAAGGGATCAAATATTTACATTTCTGAATGCAAGAAGTGGGGCAGCAGCAGTGGGGAGGTGGGACAATTAGATAAATGTCTACTCCTTATCAAGGGCCTACTTATGGCAGACTCTGTGCTAGTGCTTTATTCTAAATTTTATTTTATTTTTTTGAGTTGGAGTCTCACTCTGTGGCCCAGGCTGGAGTGCAGTGGCATGCTCACGGCCACCACAGCCTTGACCTTCTGCCTCAACCTTCCAAGTAGCTGGAACTACAGGCACACAGCACCACACTCAGCTAATTTTTTGATTTATTATAGAGATGAGATCTTGCCAAGTTTCCCAGTCTGGTCTTTTTTTTTTTTTTTTTTTTTG